CTGAAACTTTTTTTTTTCTTTTTAACTTTTTCATGGATTCTTTGGGGTTTTCCATCTGGAAGAGCAGGATGTGTTCAAATGGACAATTTGATAACCACACTTTCTCTCTCTTGGTTTGGGTTCCCTTTGTAATTGCCCAAGTGAGTCTATTTTGAACGCTTGCTTATTACTTTGTATTTTGCCCTTCATATACTTCACCCGGCGATTACTGCAAAGCTGTTTTTGATCGGAACAAGCTGTTTTGAAATGATGGCGGCAGAGCATGTCTGTGAAAGATGAAAAAACAAGAAAACTGGGTCACCTTCCAGTAGAATTAGTATATTTTCTTCTTTTATTTCTTTTTTCTTTATAAATATGCCACCTAGCCGCTGTTTCAAACTAGCTTGTGATATTTATTAAATTTCTTGACTTAAGTCTGCCAAAATAATATTTATTGAGACAGAGTCTCATGTAGCCCAGGCTAGCTTCAACTCACTATGTAGCCAAAGAGAACCTTGAACTTCTGAACTGCTGCCTCTATGTCCCAAGTACTGGGATTATAGACATGCCCACCATGCCTAGTTTATATAGTGTTGGATCTCGAACCCAGGGCTTTGTGCATGGCAGGCAAGCGCTCTACCCACTGAGCCACATCTTAGCTCTGCTAAAACATTTAAATTAGAGCTGATGATATAACTTAAGGCCCGGATTTGATTATCAGTACCGAAGGTTTTTGCTTGTTTGTTTTTTGAAATTGTGTTATCATGGAGCTAATGCCAGGACTTTGAGATCCTCCATTGGTATAGGAGGTTCTTCTGTTCATGTGTCGCTTTCATTGGTTAATGAATAAAGAAACTGCTTTGGGCCTGATAGGGCAGAACTTAGGTAGGAGGAGAAGACAGAACTGAATGTTGGGAAGAAGGGCAGAGTGAGAGAAGCCGTGGATCTTCTGCCTGAGATGGATGCTGGTTAGAATCTTGCTGGTAAGCCACAGTCATGTGGCAATACACAGATTAAGAGAAATGGATTAAATTAAGATGTAAGAATCAGCCAATAAGAAACTAGAGCTAATGGGCCAAGCAGTATTTTAATGAATACAGTTTCTGTGTGGTTATTTCGGGGGCTAAGCTAGCTGGGTGGCCAGGAAGAACAGCAGGTCTCCTCCCCTAACACTCCATAACCAAACAGAAGCCCCAAATAAATACCAAAGAGACACTAAAGCTTAGCGAGTCCCTCACTGTGGCTTTCCATCTTAACAAATGCGTTTTCAATTCTGAGCTTCTCAAACATTTTATAAGATTCGTTTTCTATTGTCCTCGTCAGTGACAAACCTCTCATAATCTTGAGCTGCCTGATCTCTGCACGAATCAAATTTGCTAGATTTTAATTGCCTAGGTTTATCTTTTTAACAATTCCTGTAGAAGATCTGGCCTCGGGCCTTGGTGTTGCCCATGGACCATGTACCTTTTTCTTGGCATCCTGAGAGATCACACAAGCTGTAATAGGTACATCCAACCTGTGGCCATGTGTGTCCCAGACCAGCTACAAACACAGTCCAACATGTTGGTACATTTCATCAGTGCCAGTCAGTGGGACAGCCTGGGTGTGGCATGTGTCATGGATGCTGAGTGGAGTGGAGGGACGGGAGTGGGTCTGAGTGGCTCCAGGTTGGTCTCTGTTGGGTACAACATCCATGTCTGTCACATAGGTACTTCCAGCCTCATAGGTCTCCTTAGGAGTTGTAGAGAAAGTGCTCAGCCATCTCTGTGTCACCTAGGATGAACCTGTCTCAATTCTACCTGTGGCCAGGTTGCCTTTGTCCTAAAACTGGGGACAGGGGTGAAATAAAATGGACTCTTGTGTTACCAATGAGCTCAAGACCGAAATGGAAGAGAGAAATCAGTGTCTCCCTCTAGCTAGGTGGTATGAACTTGTCAGAGGCCCAGTGAGCTGCTTTGGGAGGGGACACTCAAAGACCAGCCCTTATTCCAGATGGCTCTGGTTTTGACTTTCACCCTTCCCAACAATCCCAGGTGTCACTGTGTGTTTGCTTGGGTGCCTGTGTGTGACCACATGTCTAGAGCCTTTTTCCACAAGCGAGTCCAGGGATAAATGTTTGCCTTTTCTTTTAAAAACGACCATTGAATTTATTTATTCATTATTTATGTGAGTGTGCGCATCTCTGAATCCTGGCAGATGTGTGGAAGCTGGAGGCTGGTTTGCAGGGGCTGCCTCACTCCTAGTATGTGAGTCCCAGGGATCGAACTCAGGTCCAGGCTGGGCAGCACATGCCTTTACCTATTGAGCCACCTAGCCGGCCCTAAGCCCCTTTCTAAAGGTCCAGTTGCCCTGCCAGAGGTTTCTCTTCACGGCATGCTACTATCCCTGGCTGCTGGAAGGCATGGTTTTATTACACTGCATCTGTCTTCCATTCTCCATTGGGACTACTCTTTATGTTTGTTTAGAAGTATGGTTCCTCGAAAAGGACTCAGTGTTTGTGGAACTCTGTGTGTGCTTTTAAATTATACACACAATGCTGCACTGTACACCCCACCCCCATTTTGTGTGTGCCAAGACTACAAATTAGCAGAGGCTCCTGGCTCCTTTGCCAAAACCAGTCTGGCAGAATGACAGGTCTGAGGGAGGAGCTTGGATCTGAGGAAATAACAAAAGATCCTAAGCCAAGCTCTGCTAGAAGCTGGGAACAACCTAGACTGCAGGGTGCAGTTATGGGGAGCTGAGCCATGGGTCCTGGAGCAGGGGATGAGCAGGGTCAGACCGTGGGTGGGGGTGGAGGAAACCGTTCTTTTCTTTTCTCTCATCATGTAGCCCAGGCTGGTCTCAGATTGAGGCTCCTCCCCAGCCTCCCAAGTGCTGGAGTTACAGGTTCAGGTTACCACACCTAGCCAGAGAACTTTCTAGACTGTGCTTTTCTTCTGTTTTGCTCTTTGGTTCTGAGATGACTAAGCTCCAGAGGTGTGATGATGTCACCAGAGCCCTTAGGGTCAGAGGCTGGACCCTGGCTGCCCTAATGAGCCAGGCTCAGTCACCCAACCACAGCAGGCCAATTAAAGGGAAGCAACAGTGAAAGAGCAGAGGATTATATAATCAATGTAGCCACGGTGGGAAGAGGAGCAAAAGGGTCCAGTGAAGTCCAACTCATCTTCAGGGTCTTGACATGAGAGTGCAGAGGTTTGCCTAACTCAGCATCCCTGGTCAAGACATGGTCCTGCGTATCACTGACCCACTGACCCCTCTGCTCTGGTCACCCCCAGAAGGTGCTCTGGCGAGCTCTCAGAACTGTGTGAGTCAGATTCTTCCAGAGATTCCCAGGGAGATTCCCATCTCTCGAGCCCTTCATTGAAGGGTGGGGCACAAATGTCTGTCTAGGATAACTTCCTTTCTGTCACAGTGACAGCTGGCCCAAGCCACTGCTGGTGAGAAAGGCTGAGAGCAATGCAGGCTCTCTCCTGCCCTCCGAGTTCATTCTTTCCTCTTCCTGTATCCTTATCCCCGGGGTGGCAGGATGGGGATCTCAGTCAGTGATGCCGATTCAGGTGCTTGGTGGCAAGGTGCTGAACAGAGTACCTGTCTATGGTGGCAGCAAAGGGGATGATGGAAAACATGGTCTATCACATCTCTGTCCCCTACCCAAGGTGACCATCATCAGGAGACAGGACATTGACTGGGCCACACAGAACATCTGATTCAATCCTACCAGATAAGGGAAGATGTCAGCTGCCCAAGGCAAGGGCAAGGAACTGCCTGAAAGCCCTTGAGTATAAGCACTAATTATAGAGAATGTAATTACAAAGCCAGGCCAGCTTGCTGGGCATGAGGGAGCATGCCGGTAGCCCCAGCGTAACGGGACACAGTGAGTTAGCCTCTCGGTGGCTGTCTTGGCTTCTTTCCCTTTTGCTGTGATAACCTCGACAGAAGCAACTCAGGGGAGAAGGCACGAACTCTGGCTCACAGATCAAGGTAAGCTCATTGCGGTGGGGACATCAAGGCCACAGGAGCGTGAGGCAGCTGGTTCCGGTGCATTCACAGTCAAAAGAAAAGAGCAAAGAACGCTCCCTCATACTGTTTTCCGGGCCCCTGATCTAGAGAACAGCGCCAACCACAATGAAGATGCGTCTTCCCATGTCGGTTAACAGAATGAAGGCAATATACACAGGCATGCCCAGAGGCTCTCCCGCCAGGTTGAGTCCAGCTTCTGTCCAGGGGACACAGTGGGGATGGCTTTCTTTGACTCCCTAAGACAGGGTTTCTCTGCATAGCTCTGGCTCTCCTGTTACTCACTCAGTTTACTTGTTAACTAGCACTAGAGGATGACGCGCTGCCAAGAGATCATCATGAATGTAATAATAAGAAGAAGAACGAAATTGCATTTTTAAAATTATTTGTGTATATATATATATGTATATACACATCACACACACACATGCACACATATATGAGATGTGAGTATGAGCACACAGGTGCCTGCCACTGCACACACATCATGTTCGGGTCAAAGGACAACTTTCTCCCCTTCTACCCTAGCAGTTCCAGAGATCAAACGGGTTGGCAAACTTGTTTAATAAACATTTTTACTCACTGAAAGCCATCTTGCTGGCCTGCCAACGCCCCTCCCCAGCTCAATCCTTTTTTTGCTTTTGCTTGGATGTTTACTTGGCTCCTCAGTTGGGATAGGAAGCATTTTGGGGAATGAATTTTGGAAGGTCATAGGCAGTGTTTGTGTGGGCATGACACTCGGAACGGATTTCTTGTGCCAGAACTCTGACTGTTGCACAAGGCTCAGACTCCGGCATTGGGGTGACTTGAAAGGGCAGAACAGCTTCATGAAGCTTATCATCTCAAGCCTCAAATCCCAAGTTTTCATTTCTGAGGACTGTGCCTCAGGCGCCTCGGTTGCCAAGGAGTTGATATAAGTTGCAGGATCACTATCCGATGATGGGAGGAGTTAAAAATCTCATCTTCTATTGGATAAAAAAAAAAAAAAAACTCTCATCTGGGGGTTGGCATGTTTTATTTTTTTATTGCAGTTTGTCTTTATCTTAATATGTGAAAAAATTAGCAGATTCAAAGTAGGCAGAAGGGACATCAGAGACGGACAACTGAGTGCATTTACTTGTTGGCCCTGCTCCCACAGATGCACCCCAAACTGGGGACCTCACTGGTTTCTGATTGTTCCTTTCCAGGCAAAGAGAAGTGTGGAGCTGTCCGGGTATTTTAAGGATCTGTGCGAAGCTTCTCAGTTTGACAAGTACAGGAGGCACAGGAGTTTATTTTTGCTCGGTGGGCAGCTGTGCACACGCCATGGCTCTGGCAGTCTTCCGGGAGTAGGTCTGTGCCAGGCTTGTGGGCACATGATGCCGTCCACCATAATCCCTGTTTTCTTTAAGTTCAAAGTGGTAGAGCCTTGACAGAAGCAACTTCATTTTATTCTGCTGACTTCAGCTTCTGCATCTTCCCATAGGTCAGGAAAAACAGTTCTAGCCTGGGGGCGGGGAGAGGGAGTTCAGCCTTTGACAGGGATAGCAGCTATGGTGGTTAATTCCCAAACAAACCCTAGCAGGAGGCTCTGACAAAGGGGCTCAATTTGAATAACAGAATCAGGGCTTAAGGTGGTGGGGTATTTGTGGTTAGACCTATCTAGACTAACCTGGAAGCCTGTGTGTGTGTGTGTGTGTGTGTGTGTGTGTGTGTGTATGTGTGTGTGTGTGTCTGTTGTGTGTATGTGTGTGTGTGAGTCTCTGTGCATGCTCATGCATTTATGCATATGTGTGCATGTTTATGTGTGGAAGCTGTAGATCAAGCTCAGGTTTGGGTCCTCAGGACACCATCTACCTTGGTTTTGGAGGCAGGGTCTCTCACTGGCCTGGAACTCGCTGATTCAAGTAGGCTGGCTGGTCATGGAGCCGCAGGGATCCACCTGTCTTTGTTTCCCTAACTCTAAGGTTGTGAACAAGTGTGTGCCTCATGTGTGTGGGTTCTGGGGTTAAACACAGGTTCTCAAGCTTGCATGGTAAGCACTTTATGGTCTGTGCTATCTCCCCAGCTCGAAACCTATACTTTTAACATATATACTTCATATCAGTCTCATTTCACGTTAAGAGAACACACATGGTGGTTAGTGAAGTACTTTATTTTTAGGAGCCTCCGTGGTACTGTGAGGCAGGAGGTTGGGTGCCAAGGGGAAGCTGGAGGTGGACAATCTGCCAACCCATGGTAGAAGAGTGACGGGGAAAGATCAGTCTAACTCACCAGGCTTTGGTGTCTCATCAGGTGATGACAGAAGGGCCTCTACCCTGCCTCTAGTGTGGGAGATGGGTGTTTATCACGGGGGGGGGCGTGGTTGGGCTGGGAAGGGGTGCTAGAGGAGACCTGTCTAAACTAAACTAAAGATTTACAAATAAGCAGCTGGGTGTCTTCGCTCTGCAACGCTTATTGGAATAGAATGCATAAGATAACTTGAAGGTGCCCAAGTTCCGGGTAAAACAGTCAGCGGCGACTTTGTCACACCAGCACAACTGTACCTGACAGGGGTCCTGATTGGCTGAAATTAGAGGGAAACAGACACTGAGCTGATGGTTGTTAATATCCCACGGCTGCTAGTGGGGAACAGCCTATTCTGAGGCCACCGGAAAGGCAGAGCCCATGTGATGGGGATGCACAGCGGCCAAGCTTGGCACTGCCAGAGGTTTGCCTAGCTTCCTAGATAACCTCTTCTAGGTTGTAGTTTACTTTAGTTTAGTTTTTGTTTTTAAGGACAGGGTCTAATGTAGCTCAGGCTAGCCCTGAACTCCATACATAGCTGAGGATAACCTTGAACTTCTGATCCTCCTACCTCCACATCCTGGGCTCTGGGATTCTAGGCATGGTAAATTATGCCCAATTTATACAGTGGTAGGGATAGAACCCAGGTCCTTGTGTATGTGAGGCTGGCACTCTCCAGCTGAGCTACATCTCTGGCCCCACCTTCTTGTTAACAGACCTGCTTGTGTAAGGAAACCCAGCCTCACTGGCCTCAGGATGGATGGAAATGGTAAAAACCTGTGTGGTCTACTCCTCCTTGGCTATGATTGGTTTTAGGTAGTATGCAGCTTTATTCTGAATGAAGTGCTAAAGAGGAAGTCAGCAGGGGCTTCTGGGAAGTGTTCATTCCCCCTCTTCAGAGAGTCCTGGAGAGGGAAAGCCACCTGTCGTGGGTGGCCAAGGGCATTCCCGGAGCTCTAGTGTGTCTTGTAGTATAAGCACAGATGTTGGCACCAGGCCGGAGCTGAGGAGCAGGCCTGATCCCGGGCTGTAGCAGTTGCCCAGGTTGGCACCACACTGTCCTAGAGAATTCTTTCCCATGTGACAGAGGCCCCTTTACTCCATGTGTCACCACCCTGCAGGCAGCATGGCTCGCTGCCCCCTCCCTCCTGCCCATCCCTCCCACCCAGGGTGAGCCCTCTTTGTGCAGAAGTGTCTCTTGCTGCTTTGCTAAATAATAGGTCCCTGGTGCTGTGGTCCCCAAACCTCAAGACAATGGCTAGGAAGGCCCGGCTTGTCCTCGTCCCTTCTTGTCTCACTGCTCAGACTCATCCTCACGTGTCCATTGGGCAGCACAGAGTGGCCTATGGTCCTCTTTGACCTTTTGGCCATGCTGTGCCTTGTTTGAGGGATGGCCCAACCTTCCTCTCCCACTGTGAGCCTCACTGACTCTCTTAGGACTCAGCTTAGGTACCACTGTTTGCAGGACCCCCTGCAAGCCTCAGGCTGTGCAAAGCCTGTTTCTGCCTTCCCATTGGAGTCTTCCGTGAGGTTCTAAGCAGGGATAAATTCCCCTTCTGCTGCAGCAAACTGCCCAGCGCTTGTGTGTCCCATATACACATCTGGAGAGCTTGCTGGCATTTTGGGGGTTTTCTTATAGGAGCAGACAATTTCATCCCCTTGCTAGGTGAAACTGTAGCACAGTCCTTTTGTGCTACACCACGATTCTTCATTCGATCATAGCAGCAGCTGTGATAAAAGCAGCACCTGGTTGGGGGGCATGTCTTGTTGAGGCTGTATTCTCACAGCCCTGGAGTCCTGGGGCCTCCCCACTTCCCTTGACCTTTGACACTGAGTGGAGACTCAGAAACTATGAAGTGGTATAGAGCAGAGTTTCCAGTGAGCTGACTAGTCTGCTTGCAGGGATACACCAGGGCCCTGAGGAAGCAGACATCAGCTCTGTCCTAGTCCTGTCCCCACTAGGGCTCTGCTGCCTCAGTCCTGTCCCCAGCAGGGCAGTGGGTCAGTGGGAGCCAGCTCTGTTCTAGTCGTGTCCCATCCAGAGTGAATAGAGAATAAGGAGAACAGGGGTGTCCTCACCAATCTGTTTCATCCGCGGGATATCCTATGTAACCCAAGCTACAGTGGCAACCATAGGTCTTATAGAATGGAGCACGGTACTGTCCTGTCCTATGTACAATCATTTGTCAAAACTCTCCAATGCTCCCTTGGATCTGTATTGGGCCTGAAAAAAGATGGAGAAATGGCCGGTGGAGGGCAGTGAACCCTGTGCCCCTCCTCCGCATTGGCATCTCTCTACTGCTTCTCTCCCCACAAATGCCTTCCTTCCCATTCCCACTGAGACAGGGCTGGGGAATGGGAAGGAGCACTGGAGGATGGGGTGCCCCTCTCCTTAGATTACCCCCCATCCTGCTGAGTTCAGAGTCAAGGCTTACCAAAGGCCATGATCGCAGCTGTTAGCAGCAGGAGGACCTTCATGTTGTCAGCCTGTGAACGACAAGTATAGACAACTGGCCCGGGTGTTTCCTAACCAGGAGTCTCGGGCTCTGCTCCAGCCCCTGCTCTGTTGTCTGACTTAGCAACCCTGGAGTCCAGACGTGCTCTTGCATGGGGCTAAGTCATAGAGAGCATAGGTGGCTTCAGACAGTGCATCACGCGTGTCACCCCTTGTCCCTTCCCTGCTCTGTTGGAATATGATACAGTACCGGGAGCACCCTAGCACCTCCTTCAGTCCTCCTGGGAGACTGGATTCATTCCACAAAACTGGGAGGCTGAAGACAATGCCTCTCTTCATTAGATACTCAACCTGCCTCCCTGCGTTAGGGTGAAGGCTTCGGAACTCCATCCATGGAATCTGATCCCCAACAGTTTCTGTCCCGAACTAAAGCTGCACATTCTCTTGGCAAGCCTTTCTAAGCATGTACACACACATGCTCTTGAATTCTTGCTCAGCACCCTCACAAACCCATACAACATACTTGCACACAAATACTGTCTTTTACATGTTTACGTGATGGTGGTTCACATGCACAGGCATGTCCATGAACACACACATACATGCACCTACACAATCACTCACATGTACAGGGCAGGAGATTCTGGGCATTTACCTCTCAGGTGCTGCTGCAGCTTCTTCTTCAAGGGTTTGTCTTGTTTTTCCTGAATTCCAACTGCCCTTAAATAGCCTTTCCTTCTGCAGGGTTGGGGTGGGTGAAGTACGGGGATGGAGAGGAGGGAGTTGCCAAATGGTGGCCTCATAGATAAACACACACAATGCCCTGGGCAATCCCCCTTTTCCCCCCTCATCATCTGGCTGGATGACCTTGTTGACATCATGATAAATTCCACCTGATTTTGAAACCTCTCTGGCACTGAGAAAAAGACTATATTCTTGGCTGAATAGGTTTATTTCTCCAATCAGGGTAAAACCAAGAGGTCATGGCCCAGGAGACACTTCCAGGGGTGGGCAAGATTGTGTACTGTGGAGGGAATGAGAGTTATGTAAGCCAGGAATGTTCCTTTTCCTAATTGATTGTGACATTTGCGAATAGGAAAGAGAACATTGATGCAGTAGAGTTTGTCCATTTCCTCCATTCAACATTCATTCAATCACAAAAGATATATGCTAAGCCTCTGTGAGGTCCAAGGCTGCACAAACTTCTTGAGGGGGTGATGAGGACGTTGCAGGAGTCAAGTTCTTGGGGCCCCACAGACCACTCCAGCATGGGAAGGATTGGATGGGCTGGATTCTCTGTCCCCCAAAGAGCCCAGCATCTCCATATTCTCTTTTTCCTCCCTTTCATGGTCCTCCCCATCTCTCATTCCATGTGGTTTTCTTCTCTGTGTGTTTATGTGTCTGTGGTTGTGCCTGTGTGTGCAGCTGTGTGTGCAGCTGGGTGTGCACGTGAGTGGAGTTTAGAGGACAACCTTGGATATCGTTTCCGGAACTGTGTGCCATGTTTTTTGAGACAGGGCCTCTCATTGACCTGAGCTTCACAAAGTAAACCAATCTGGCTTCACAGAGTCCCAGGGACCTGGTCACATTCCTCTCCCCAGCACTGGAGTGACAAGTGTGTGCATATTAATAGGTTCTGGGGATTGAACTCAGGTCCTTGGGACTGCAAAACAAACACTTTACTGACTGAGCCATTTACCAGTTCTGTAAGAATTTTTAAACCTAGAAAAATTCAGCAGCTGTTCTTGATTTTTCCCACCAAACAGCTGCCACTACTGTCCTTCCTAGCCCTCACCCGATTGGCAGTGGGCTTCTTAATGTTTCCTGGGCCTATGACGTCTTTATTCTCCAGGCTTCGGGGATATAGTGATTTGAGGGCTTTAGTTTCTAAACTAAACATCTTTCTCCCCCTGCCCTCCCACCTGTGCTAAGAATTTGGTTTCCCTGGCCTTAAGTAAAGCACCAGACATCGGTCCTTCAGACACTCCTACAGTAGAGGCTGTGGGGTTCCACTGCACCCCAGCTGTCTCTCACTCTTTGTAACCTATGGTAGATGAGTGTCATAGACCTGCTTCAGACCTGAGCTGGGCTCAAAGGGTCAGTTCAAAGGGTCTTGTCCACACCAGGACAAACCCAAACCAGATGCACCTCTTGCCCTTTCTGGGTTCCTCTTGGAAGATGATGAATGTGGAGGCTGTCTTATTGCACACTGAGTGGTGGAATGAAAGACAGCTATTCTGGAACATTCTACTCAGAATCTAGTGTGAGAAGGAAGCGAAGGATTTTTCTTTTATGTTGTTGATAAACAAAATCATTGCATCATTCTGTAGTTTATATGTGAGTCATTCTAGCAGATGTCCTTCTGATATTCTGAAAATGAGCTTATTTCATTTCTTTAAAAGCAGATTTTATTGAATATGTTATTGGTTGAATGGTGTCCTCCTTTTGGACCTCACTTCCTGTTCAAATCTTGAAACCTTATACTACAGCCCTGTTCGGAAATAGTGTCATTACAGAAATGAATAGCTAAGATGAGGTCATTAGAACCCTGACCCTATAAACCTTGATGTCGTTAGGGAAAGGGGAAGAAATGTGGGTTCAGAGAGGTGGTCACAGGGTGACAGTTCTACTTCCCAGGGAGCCCAAGATGCCAACAAGTACAGAAGGCAGGAGAGTCCCGGACAGACTCTCACCTTCAGAAGGACCCAACCATCTGGGCTCCTCTGGTCCATGATGGGCATTTTCCTTGAGATAGCTCAAGCCAAAAACCATTAAAGATAAGTAAACTAAGCAGATGGTGGCTTTTCTGGGCTCCAAGTTCCTCTAACCCCCTAGCTCAATTTTTTTGGTACTTCTTCCTGGTAACAAGCTCAGAAATCCACTTTACAGCTTTGCCTTTAAAAGGAAATGCTTTAGCTTCTCAGCTTGCTATGAACTATTTTCCCCTAGTGATGAGAATTAGAAAGCCGAGGGATTACATGTGCAGCTATTGCCCAGACAAGGAGCGACTCTCCCTCAAGAAGCCTGTACCCATACTTGGAGGTGTCTCACCGATCTCCTGGGTACTTGAGCTTCAAATCTAAGTCAAAAAATGCTTTTTAATGAACTCGACCTCTGCATTATCCTGAAGTTCTTTTCTGTGGCGTAGCCAGGAACATGGTTTTACTTGAGTGGAAGTCATGGAGAGGTAAAGGAACAGCCCGGGCTGTAGGCAGCCGCGTGGAACCACTCAGTTAATAGGATGATGTTTGTGTTTCTGTGATGGCAGACAACAGGCTGTGCTCTGCCGGAGCTAGGATGCCATCCCCAGGACCGAAAGGTGAGAGATTAGAAAAGGGAGAGAGAGAGAGAGAGAGAGAGAGAGAGAGAGAGAGAGAGAGAATTTAGATAGCCCTTTCCTGACGTAGCCCCAGGGAATTCCCCGTTATCCACTATCTTCCTAAGTTTCCATCATTTCACAATATGCCAAGGTTGGGGGCCAGTCTATCCTATCTTGGTGAGTCCAAAGTCTTGAACCTAATTTGCTTTCTAACCTAACTTGCATTACCATCCAAAAATATCTTTGGACGTCTCTCAACCTTATGTGCTTTACACCTCTTTAGAGAGCTTCCTTTCTGCCTCTGGAAAACAAGAGAATATATAACTGTAACTATCTAGTCTTCAATTCCCCAAGAGACCCGGGAAGGAAATAATATTAACTGAGTAGGCAGGCAGTGCAAACAAGCAACTTCCAAAAAATGTGAGAAATGACAGAAAGAGCTGGCTGCCTGGACAGTCACCCATGGATCCTCTGCAGTGTTAACACACCCATATTTGGCCTACATGCCTAGAATATTTGACAGACTTTTCTGTGAAGCAGGATTTTTGACGGATTCTCCCTCCTTGTCTAGGCAAGGTTTAGCAGTCACTCTTCTGTGTAGGGCGTCTTCCATTTGGACAGCACGTGGTCAGCAATTGAGGCAAGAGCACTCTCTTGCCTAGTGGCTTACTTTTGTCACAAGGAAAGTAAACGCCCTGTGGAGTTTCTTTGATGACCATAATCTTCTCCAAAGTAAATTGGTGCTGCCAGGAGCAAACATATCTCATTGTCATTAAAAACAACAACAACAACAATATTATTAAAACATCTTTAATGCCATGTTCTGTAGTTCACTGGAGTGTTTGAAGATGACCTGTCTCAGTAAAATATATCTCCTTTTAACCTTGAAAACATACCTAATATGACTACATGTTTTATTGTAATAGGTGACTAATTAATAACGTGCATTTCCTTATTATCCTAAACAGTTAGCAGTAATAACTTTCTAGGACTAGAAATTTGTACTACATTATTAAACGAGTTGTATAGGTATAATAACTTGAACAAGAGTAGAAATGTACGTACAGTACGTTTCAACAAAATTAATCTCAAACTCGTATTGATATACAAATTTGTATACAATATACAAAGTTTCAATCCAATGTAAAATATTTAAAACTAGTAGTCGCTTTTTAAAAATAGATTCAACAATCTACAATTTTTTATTTTTAATTATTTTTTAAAAAAGAAAACAAACTATCTTTTTTCATTATACATACTAATTAAGCTCTCAGTCCCTCCTCTCCTCCCATTCCTTCCACATACCCTCCCACTCCACCCCATCCACTCCCCAGAGAAAGGAAAGGCACATGGCTTTGGGGAAGGTCCAAGGTCCTCCCTACTATAACTAGACTGAGCAAGGTATCCAACAATCTACCTTTTTATCTTATCATATCTACATCCTCCCTGTTTTCTTTTCAGATCAGATTCAATAACATCTTTTTATCCTATCATATCTGAATTCCCCTTTTTTCTTTTCAAAACAAGAACTCTGAATCTAATCTCTTTTGTTTAATTTTCCTCCTGACCATAACCAACAACAACTTGTACCCAAGCATCCTAAACAATGACCCACTGAATGACCAAAACCCACCTCTTTGGAATGTGGGCATCATATTCTTAGGTTTACTTCCTACTGTCTGGGGGCGACAGCATCTTTAGCAGATCCTAAAAAATAAAATGGGTTAATTGTAAAGTCCTGGTAGAGGTAGTTTTATCATTTGTTGTGCGGTCTTTCTGTAATGGAAAAGTGCAGGGCTTGTCTCAAGTCCTGGCTGGAGTAGTCTGTGAGGCTGGATCATCTCAGCTAGCCACCTTGAAATTGTTCTGAGGAGTTTATGGTCTAAAAGTTGATCTTTAGGTGGTGTTTTTCAGATTAATGGTGCTGTAATAGTCCTGGAGGAATCATCATTGTGGATCCCCATCCTTCTTTTGGAGATTTCAGAGGTCACTGTTATGCGTGCTCATGGTTCATTGCAGAAAAGTGATAGAGACTCAAACCTGAAATCATGTACAGGAAGGTAGATGAAACTTTTTCTAGAATTAGTTAGTGTTCTATATGACAGAAAATTTAGGATATACATATATATATATATAATATAATAAAATTTGTGCTTTAAGAAAAGCTGTTTAAGAGTTAATATAAAACCAAAGGATTAAGAAATGAGTGGCAATAAAGTAATCCTTAAATATTTTTTTCTTTTGTCCCATATCAGGTGACTTTTTTGACATGAGACAGAGAGTTTAGATTTCACTTTAATAAGCATGCTTAGGTTTGGAGAAGGAGAGAGCCACACTCCAACTCCAAAGCCAGCTTTAATCTTTAACTGGGATTACAAAAAGACCATTTGAATTATATGTCTGTAGAGAATAGCAGAAAGATTTACGACATTTTATGCTGTT